ATATATATATATATATATATATATATATATATATATATATATATGGAGACCGCTGAATTCAGAAATAGAATAGACGCTAATGAATATTTTTTATACGACCAGTCTTCACATCTACTGTGCGTATCCCAGCACTTCTAACAATCGATTCTTTTCTTCGTATCCATCATTCACTAAGGTCCTCCAACTTTTCCACGTGGCTTCGTTTGCGGCTAGAGGATTTCTGTTTCACTTCGAATTTCGTTCATTACTGGTTGAGTCGATTCTTTCTGGAGTCCTGAGATAGCCAGGCTGGAGTGCTCCCAATTGGACTGCAGGGAGTTATTTCTTTCAGGACAAGTCGGGTACCAATTTTCCGACCCCGGAGGAATGAGAGACTTGGTGAGACAGGGGTGGGTTCGAACCAGCACCGTGCTAGTTATGATCGGCATCAATACCACTATGCTATCCGCTCCGTAATAAATCTATCACTATGTTAAAAATCTGTTCATTCAATATGCAGCAGATAAATTAGATAACACCTTCAAGATTCAACGTCTTTTCGGTTATTATAGTCTTCCAAAACTGAGCGCTTATTTTTCACGAGTAAGTGACTCTTAAAGTCGCAACCACACTTCATTTACATAGCCGGATTCTTAGGAAACATCTCCTCTCATGTATTGTGGAATCACACCTTTCCTATCCGTTTGTATCACCGACTTGAGTTGTCTGTGGCGATGGTGTACTACGTGACACCATGAAGTTTGCAAGCCTCGTTATTCCTACACTGTTTCCAGTTACCCCGTCGTCGTCTGTTTTATGGGAGAGTAAAAAACCGTGCAGTGTTGTTATGTATCGAAATCGTCTTGTACTTGTGAATAAAATGCAACTGATAATTTCCAGCATTAGATGGTAGCAGTGGGCGTGGGGAATAGCGCAGTAGTACGTGATGCCGTCGATCTGGAAACAAAGGCTTTAAATCGATACCCTCCACAAGGCTTCCCTCAAATCCACGGGTGAACGCCCTGTGAAGGCCAAGATTTCAAGGAGAACTGACTCGACCAGCATTCTATAGCCTTCATAAACAACAGAAAATCCTCATGCAGCAGCCGAGACAATATGCAAAATGTTCGAAGAGCTTTGTGGGCGATAAATACGAGAAAAACGAATAGAATGGAAAAAGTTCTGAGATGAAAACGATAGATATGGTAAAGGGTAGTGTAAGAAAACGATGAAATTTTGCACCATTATTGGCAAATGATAGCGGGTCATGTAGAAAATTATCTGTACCATCATTGGTGTTTTTTTTTTGCCTAGTGGTGGTTTTTCATCTTCTCAAAAACAAATCTCAGTAAAGGAGATGTTATGTGGATTGGAATACGTTGAGATAGTTTCCGTCGTCAATTCGCTTTTAGATTACAAACTTTCTGTTTATCTATTATTTATAGAGTGAATTTTTATCATTAATTACTTCGAACTGATAATAAAATGCATCTAGTTCTCCCTCAGTAGTTGTACACGTTGGTGAGTAGCAGTTGGTGATGAAATCCTTTCAATACTAGAAACTGATAATACTAGAAACTGATATTCTTCTGGCACAATGCTTAAGGCCGGGGTAGCACTAACCGAAGTGATATGTTTCCCTATGAATCAATGTGATCGGAACAGATTTGTGTACAACAAAACCCGTCTCACATTTTATGAACGGCACATACCTCATCTTTTGTGGATCTAACAAACGCTTATTACTTTCTGGAAACTCCAACGCTACTGCGATTAGGTAACTTTACATTTCCTCTACCTTCACAAAGTTGTGCCGTCTAATTTTTTTATGATTAAAAGAAGCTTACGATAGACCGTCACTGGTCGTTCTCCATAAATGTACATCTTCGGTGGCTCTTGAAAAACCTTTGATGCTGACAAACCGCATAATCTGAATTCATTTACGTGGTGTAGAGATAGAGAGCAAGAACGAATTCTTATTTTGAAGCTATTTATAAAGGCACACTTTGTTATCTGTTAATTTTATAGGTGCGGAATCCAAAACATTACAAAGTGCTGAAGGATTATAAAAAGGAAAGAAAAATTATGCATTGTAGGAGGTGCAGACCCTCATGGTTATCGCTGCATAATAAAATCCACCATGAGCCTAGATATGTTGATCCAAATTTGAAGGCGAGCTTTGCTTTTGTTGATATATTTATTTATGAGATCTTATAAACTGATCTTCTTAAGCTGACGCGAGGTTGGTACAGATCTTCGTTGTCGTTGTTTTTGATGTTATTGATCGATGGCTGACGTTTCGGCGACTTCGCCTTCCTCAGAACCGTGATGTTGCGTGCCTCACGGCTCTGAGGAAGGCGAAGTCACGTAACATCACGGCTCTGAGGAAGGCGAAGTCGCCGAAACGTCAGCCATCGATCAATAACATCAAAAACAACGACAACGAAGATCTGTACCAACCTCGCGTCAGCTTAAAAAGATCAGTTTATAAGATCACATAAATAAATATACCAACTATCTATGCCGTGGTTTATAGAAAGTCGGTCTTTCGAGTTATTATGGTATAGCTTCAACGATGCTGAGATATTTCCAAAATTCCGGACCGCAGGCGTCTGCAGTGGGGAACCAATGCGTTATTATGCTTTCCGTGCGCTAACGCGCTCACCATCACACCATGCGGGTCCTTCGTTTCACCTGTCTCTCAGTTAGTTCTGTCGATCACTGCCATCAGCAATCACCCGTTGATCAATCAATCACCCCGAATTGATCTGGAGCCCAAATCGGCGATTAACCAAATTAAGCTGAGGCTGCAGTCGAAATCACAATTTTAACTTATTATTTACTACATACGCTTTTTAATGCGGTTTAATGACTCCTGCGGTCCGGAGTTTTGCAAATACCTCAGCATCGGTGAAGTTATATTTCACCACATACTCTGCCACTACAAAGAGTAGACAGTAAATAATAAGTTAAAATTACATTGGGGTAACTGTCTCTGAAGAAGTAAAAATATGATACGTCACATATTTCTGTACGCTTTAGCGTTCTAGCAGCATATACCGGCTTATCTCTCAGGGAATAGTCAACGCCAAGCGCTTTATCCTTCTGCCCTTTGCACGACTAACGGAAAAATAAAAAACTTTAATTGTGGTATGAATTACATGAAATTGCTAGTATTAAAACGTATGAGATAACGTCAAAACAGAAGTCAATTTTTGGTGGTACATTTTGTTTTCTAGAAGGAAGGTTTTCGTAAATGCAAGCGCTCTTATCCTAAAGACTACTTTATTCGGCGTGCATCTATTTCGCTGCTCGCTACTATACTCTTCTACTTCTCATCACGAGGCGCTTAACATTAGTCTCTATGCAACCTTTCAATTTTTACAAAGAATCTTCTCTAGATAAAATATTCTAGATCAAAAATTACTGTAGGTAGTTTCATTGTAGGAAGTGTTTGTAAACTTGGAGGCACTAAAAAAAATCGATGAAGTGCTTGTGTTACAAAGGAGGCAGTAGAGTATTGCCCACTGAGTTAGTAGACTGGTGATTGCCTTAAAAGAAAAGGAAAAACTAATAAGAGCCTTACAGTGTGTTTAAGATCTCTATTATGTCCTTCCGAAATTATTGTCCAATTTGTGATTTCGTGTTTCTTGTATGTTTTATGAGCAGTTTTTTTCTAATGCTCTATTGCTATATAGAATTACAAAACCCATTTTATGCACTTTCGCCTAGAATAATTCAATTATCATCCCAACGGTTTACCGCTCATCGTAGCTGTGAGGTGTGCCTGGATGTCGGGCTGCGATGTACAGCGGGAGGATTCGTCCCCAGTAGGTCCTCTCAAGCTAAGAAGGTGTCCGGAGTTTCCACCAGGAAGCCCAGATAAAAGCAAACCAATGCGAGCACCCACCGCAGTCCTAGATCAAACTAGTCACATGGTGGCAAATTCCCCTCTTATCCACAAGGGTGCGACTGTCTCTGTGATGATGATGATCTGGGGAAGACTTTGGCTATGCTAACCTCGGTGCCCTAGAGAACCACAATAGCTAAACCTGCAAAACTGCGAAAAAATCGAAATTATGTTATAGTCCGCACAACTAGTGAAGACGGGCCATCCAAGTATCTCAATGTCCAAGTAGTAATTTTATTATAATACCAGGCGTATTCGAACATGATGGGGATCGAACGTGTCATTGGGGTGGATAGCGCGGTGCCGGTATCAGGAGCACAATGCTGGTTCGATCCTGCCCAGGGTTTACCAGCCCTCTCATCACGAGGATTCGGGAAATTGGTACCAGACTTTTCCGGAAAAAAATCATTTTTAATACGCTCCAGCCCGGCTATCTCAGGACTCCAGAGGGAATGGACTCGACCAGCATTCTACGACATTCACGTTGGAATGAAAATCCTCAAGTAACAGCCGAAGATACACGTAAAAGTCGGAAGGCCTTCGTAGCTGACAAATGCGAGGAAACGAATCGAATGTGTGAAGTGCTAGGATCGGTACAGTAGACGCGAAAGTGGGTCGTATGAAATAAAATATTAAGAAAAGACGTACTGTCAGCAAAAATCCAAAGGTGAAACAGCAGTTTTGACAAATCTACTTCTACGAATTCAAATTCGGACGTAAAGAGCCCAAATGGCTCGGAAAATCACTGGGATGTAGTGTCAAGGAGTCAACGAACGCACAGTGCAACATTGGTTTGGAAAATTTCATCGCAGTAAATTCGACCTTGCAGGAAGAAGTGGACGTCCTTCTACTATTGACGGCGATGAGTTGAAGGAATTGATGGAAGCAAATGCAGGCACAACTGTTCGAGAACTTGCCGGAAAACTTAACGTAAGGCCGGCAAATGCGTTGAAACACTTAAACAAATTGGAAAGTCGAAAAGAATCGACAAATGGATGTGGCTCGAATTGACCGAGTGTCAAAGAAGTCGCTTCTCTGTGTCCTTGGCGCTTTTCCTAGGCAACCAGAACGACCTGTTTTTTGGACCGTATTGAAAAGAGCGACGAGAAGTGGGCCCTCTAGGGGAACATGCGACGAAGAGCTTAGTAACTGGACTGCTATGAAGGTCCATGGGACTTCCCAAAGCCGAATATCTTTAGAAAGAAAGTCCCGCCGACCGCTTAGTGGTCTACAGCTGCTTTTATCCATCAAAAATTTCCTCCATCTAAGTGAAACGATTACGGGAGAAAAGTACATCCAACAAGCCGACGAAGTGCGCCAGAAATTTCAACGGGTGTTTGCTCATTGATCGATAGAAAGGGACCAATTCTCCACAATAACGCACGACCACACGTCGTTGTACCGACGCTGCAGAAGTTGAGCGTGTTGAGTTACGAAACTCTGCCTCAACTATCATACTCGTAGGACTTCTACCTTACCGATTATCTCTTCTCGAAGCATCCGATAAATTCCTGCGCTCAACATGCTTCGGAAACCAAGCCGAAGCCGAAATTGCTTTGAACGACTTTATCGTTTCCATACGCCCAGGATTTCGCAAACAAGGCATAGCTTAACTTGCTTCTCCTTGCACAAATTTCTAGATTCTTATGACTTTTACTTCGATAAAAAAGTTTATTCTGGGCTGAGATAGTTGAATTGAATATTGATTTCGTAAAGAGTTAATGTTTACAAAAGAATGGTGTGATGGGATTTGCTTTTGCTGTGGTAGCCAAGAGTTTTCTGGCCTGCCAGACTAGACTTTTATTAGATTGTAGTCGTACAATACGAGGGAAAAAAACATACGTGTAGATATTGGTGTCAGTGCATTTGACTTTGACTGCGAAACGTTTCATGGTATTGTTCTTTACTTTGATAGCCTGTTGTCCTTGTTCGAATTCCCACTTTAGTTCTGCTGGAGAAACATCCAACTTTAGTCCTGAACTTCGAAAAAAATAGTCAAATCCTCAAAGAGATAGCAATACATTAACTTGAGTCGAGCACCAAGTTGGAAAAACTTCTGGTTTCTTTAAGGGCTTGATTCTTATTGTGCATTTGTGGTTTTTTGTATTCACAAAATGAGAGCTCGTCTTCTCGGACCGTTATACGATATGTAGCCAAGTGGTTAGAGGTGGCCTGAAATACACATGGGCTCTGTCCGGCGCTCCAGGCTCACCAAACACTCCATCTCTCTTGTGTCGACAAATTGGCACCAGAGCTGTCTGAGAGAATAGCAGCACTGATTCGATACATCGGAAGGCCACCGCGAGTCATCGTACAGGCTAGATATGCATTCAATCATCTCTAACGATGCCTGATGAAGTCGAAACGTATGGCGCATCCCTCAGGGATAGATCAACGCGGAGAGCTTTATCCTGTATCCTTTTTGCCGCTACACTATGTTAACACCAACTATTCTATTTCTAAAGTTGTATCTTCTGAGGAATTTAATATCATAAACTATTCTTATTTGGCCATCAGACTCTGTCGAGAATGTAAAACGCCAGGAGAGAGCGGTTGCTATCAAAAATAACTCTGCTCGAGCTTGATGTGGAAATTTAAGGAAATTTTGGTTCACGTAATGGTTGTAGTAACATTGTAACATGGCGACACGTGGTAATACCTAGGAAGTTAACCAAAACATTTCTTTTTTGTTCAGTTTCGAGTGGAAAAGATGGGAACTAACGCCTGTTGTTATCACACACAACAGGAATGAACCTCCTAATCTGATGGTTAGCATTTCGGAAAGAAATAAGAATATAGAAACTGAACAACTTTGTGCCTAAAGCATCCACTGTTCACAGTTGTAAGAAGCTCGTAATTCTTTGTAGACAATAGTGGAAATGTCAAAGAATTTAAAGAAAAAAGAAACGTTGGAAATGTACTATTACCATGGTGTGCCACAAGACTGGCTTAACTATCTACACTTACAATGGTGCTGAGATATTTGCAAAACTCCGGGCTACAGGTGTCTGCGGTGGGGAACGAACGCGCTATTGTCCTTTGCGGGGAGTAACGCGCTCACCACCACACCATCCGGGTCCTTCGTTTCGCCTGTCTCTCAGCTAGTTCTACCGATCACTGCCATTAGCAATCACCCGTCAGCGAAATTGATCTGAGGAGCCCAAATCGGCGTTGAACCCAGGTCCGGAGTTTTGCAAATATCTCAGAATCATTGTGGTTGTTTCACAAATAGTACCCTGCCGTGAAAGCTGGTAAAAGGCAGTAAATAAAAAAGTCAGCATTGTGAATATCTACACTTAACTTGGTCGTCGTAAAGAAGTATCATTCGGACTTCCGATGGGTGTTTTACTCAACCGATATGTTGTACACTAGACTAAATCCCTTTTTCTTGATTTCCAAAAAAGTTGTGCCATAATGTTGTAAATCAGAAACCACACAGAGGCGGAAGTACATCTTCTTCAGCACAACGAAGATTCCTAACATTGGGTTACTCTTAACTTGGCTTTCGTGCCGAAATCTAGAAGCTTCCTCTAATTGAAACGTCGAGGTACTAAATCGGGATTTGAAAGCCAACACATAAAAAATTCTAGGACTCAATGATGTTTGCCGTGAAGTGAAACGTCTGTGTCAGATTTCGCTACGCACCGGTCGTACAAACGTGGGGAATAATGCTACGTGGTAAAGAAGAGTAATTGTTCTTGCTGCTCAACTGGTCAAGTTTTCGAGCCTGGCAAGGTCATTTTTTAATTTAAGCGGCAAAAATGGACGACATTTAAGCTTTACATGTGTGATACTGCTACTAGTTGCCTTTAACTCAACATATGTAATTTTGCAAATTGAAGTCTACCTGACGTGTTACCTTCTTTTAAATCCTTCTTATCATTTGCCGTTTCGTCTTCTTTCTTCAATTTATCTTTTCCTTGGTCTTCCTTCTTTTCCTCTTCAGTTTTCTTTTCCTCATCTTTCTCCTGTTCTTTTTTCTCCTTTTTATTTTCTTCATTTTTCTTTGTTTCCTCTTTTTCTCTCTCGTCTTTCTCTTCTTCGTTCTTCTTCTCAGAAGCTTTCATTTCTTCGCACTTTATCTCAGAGGTTTTCTTTTTTTCCTTTTCTCCATGCTTCTTGTCACTCCTATTCTCCTTTTCCTCACGCTTCTCATTCTTTTGTTTATCCTGATGTACTCGTAATATAGAACCTTTCAACTGTTTTACAAGGTACTAACTTACATCTTTTCGTTTTCTCTTGGAATTCTACTCTGATTTATGAAATTGAACAATTTTAGATTAACTATGAAACTATTCATTAACACATGACACATTAGACGCATTGGATGCTATGAATTCGTCGGGGCAAGATAAATAATGTGCATTGTGTCCAATGCATTCTACCTTATTTTGACAAATAGAGCTTTTTTATTTAATTTTCCCACCCCTTATGGCTTGTACAAGGTAGATGCTACTTTATGTCTAGCCCACAGAAAACTGTTTTCTACACTTTGCAGTTTGCAAAAAGCCTTTCTTCGAGCAGGTTCTTTGGCTGGTAATTTGACTGGCAGTTGAGTGTTATTCTAGTCCACTCGACCGATGACCAGTCATGGTTTCCATATGGAATACGAGGATGTAAAATATACAGCAATTTTGGAATACTAACAGTAGTGTGTTTTTATGATCATGAAAACATATAGTAATTAGTAGGATTACACTTCATGTATGCCCCTCGGTTGACAGACTAAAGTTCCTTCTGTAATTCCATCATGTTCCTACCCTCTAATTGCTCTAGTTATCAAAACGTTATCGTGTGTAATCACTTTTTTTCTGCTGTCTGTTCTTTTTTGTGGCAGGACATGATGTGGAATACAACTACAATGATGCTGAGGTATTTGCAAAATCCAGGACCGCATGTGTCTGCGACGTGGATCGGGTGTGGTAGTGAACACGTTAGCCCCGAAAAGTGTAATACCGAGGTTCGATCCACACCGCAGACATCTACGGTCTGGCGCTTTGTAAATATTTTAGCATCGTTGTAGTTATCGCCTGTTTACTAAGATCGAGTAACTCCGTAACAAGACGAAATTAGGCGTCGTGCTAATTTCCTCCACCCCACAAAATTAGGTGTCTGCTGTTATGTGTTAGGGAAGAATATTACAAGTTTTAACGAAGGAGATCGTCATTACACTTGCTAACGAGCTGATTGAGCACAACTTCAAAGAGTGCTCGTAATCAGATATAGATGACAACTTGTCTACGTTCTAGTTGTCTACAGTTTTGTCTCAGCTTCTAAGTGAAACTGAGATCGACACTTTAAGATTTACATGAACTTTAGAACCAAAAATATCCAAAGCTAATTGCATATGCTATAAAGGAGAAAGCAAGTTCAGATGAAAACATTACTTGTTCGGCTTTCGATGTATTTTTCTTTTCTCTAACTGTGTTTGGCAAACGTCCGGCTTTTTGACGACTCTGAAGACTGGTTTTACTAAAGGCGTTAAATCCTAAATCGAAAATTATTCTAAAGATTCTAATCCGAGCGAAACTATTTGTTCTTTTCTTCAAATGTGATGTTTTCATTATGTTCTTACCTTAACACTTTTCATGCACACTGTGGTGAGTTGAAGAAACAGTATGATTTGAAATGAAAGAAAGACAGCGATAATCATCTTTGCTAAAATTTGGAACTCAGTTATTTTTGCCGTTATGTTGTCGCTTCGAAAAGTCTTAAACTTAAATACATTCTCAATATAAAGGAAAATGACGACAGCGTGTCTTTTTGACGTGGACTCCTAGAACGTGGACTGGATTCATTAGCTCATGAACTTATAATAAAACGAGTGACAACAACGACGTAGACTTACTGAGTTCTACGTACTGAATTGAATGCGACCAAAGGCGAGCGCTTATTGGTACAGGAAACGGCTCATAATGAGCTCTTATTTAAGGAGATAGTTTCAGAATCCATGGTTCATCAACTTCATGGGAACTATTTAAAGTTCGTCATGAACTTGATGTCAAAGAGCAACTGACTTGGATTTATTTGAGGGAACACCTTGCAACGGGTTGACTGCAGTATCATTTAGCAAACGTCGTGTATAATTGAGCAGATTCATAGCCTACACGAGAACCTCACAACAACACAATATTGTATCACCTCTCAGTGTCACAATCCGAAAAAAAGAACCCCTGAACTACGAAGTTCTGGACTACTCATATAATTTATCCAGTATTATTTACTTTGGTAAAGGACAGACTTGCTTGAATACTTGGACATGTGAACGGCCCCTCGTCGCTGGTTGTGCGGGCCACAGCATATTCTCCACTGTGGGGAGTTTTGCTTGTTTAGTCATTCTGTTTCTCTGAAGTTCCGAGGTCAGCCTGAGCAAAATCTGCTCCAGGTCTTCGCCACCACAGGCAGTAGCAGGCCTTGTGGATCAGAGGGAGATTTGCCATCACGCGACTAGTTTGATACCAGGGCGGCGATAGATCCTGGTATTGGTTTACTCTTTGCTGGGATTCCTAATGGAAACGCCAGACTCCTTCTCAGCTTGGGAGACCCTGCTAGGAGGATGAATCCCTCCGCTGTGTATCGCAACCCGACATCTAGGAACACCTCTCAGCCACGGTGAGGCGGTAAACCATTGATAGGAAAGGGCAGACTTCGAAAAAATGATAAGAAACATCATCAAGATTCTACAGAGTTTGGCTTTTTTTTCGAGAGCAGCTTTTTCGACCCTGTACTCATAAAAAAAGATTGAACTCGTTAAATACTTTTCCAGCGGTCCGTCGATTAAGCATGATACACTGCCATCACTGGAATCTCTCCTGTCGTGGAAGAATTCGATATGCAAAGCTTAACTGATTCCTTTCCTCCACCCATTAGCTGCACTTGGTGAGAAACTGCTGAGAACGCTGTTGCCCGGTTATCTTCGGTATCGAGGGAAAATCACTGTCGAAAAGTATTGAACGTGTTATTGAGAGGGGCTAGCAGAAGCTAAACTTGCTGCCGAAGCCACATTCGAGTTCAACCATTACTGTGGATGACGGTTGCTAGATAACGAAGAGAAGTGAAGAAACGCCGGCATAGGTGAAATATTTATAGAGCGACCTTAAGAAGAATACTCGAAGGGTGTAGAAATGAGGTGTGACGAGTGCAGTAAATACAAGATGAGATCAGTTTTCGCTCACAAACTGAGGAAAAGCGCATCGTTATTGTGACGTTCAATAAACTTACTTTTAATTGCCTAGTTTAGTGCATGGACGCTAATTCAAACTGAAACCCACTCCCGTCAATGGCTATTTTTTTGAAACTGTTTCCCTTTGATAAAACACTTACGATCTCCTTACAAAATATGAATAGTGTCCGGATTTGTGAAGCGGTCGTACCATGCAACAAAGCTACACTGATTTAATCATTCTATTGATGGCAAAGTACCAGCAGATCAGCATAGAAACCCAGGTCTTTAAGATACTTGCACCGGTAACTGGTGCTTGGAAATACTAGGGATAAAACACGAATAGAACAAAAATTCCAATAATACTTAGCTTGGTTAAAATCTATAATAATAACAAGTTATTAAAAAATACAGCTGTTTTCGGTGCACGAAAAATCCGCTAGTGGTTCCACCCTCCATGATTTTGCTCGCCTTCTTTTGAGGATGTCCTGTAACCTGGTCCTCCTGTTCTATGCTTAATGTCTTCTCAAATAATTTGGTAGAACTTTCGTTGCGATGAATTTCTTGAAGAATATTTTTTCTCTAAATATCTTAACTAACCTACTGATATTTTAGACAATATCGACGGTTTTTTGCTGCTAAATATAACAGTTAATCAAATCACTAATAGATGGAACAACCGCTTTACAAAGTTTGCATGCACCTTCTGTTCACTAGAACTGATCTTAGCATTATCAGCAAAAAAGTACATTTGGAAGATGTTTTCAGTCTCCACTTCAATTAGCGCTCATGCAGGAAACTAGACAATTCAAGGCAATTCTTCTGACGTTGCTAATCAGTTTGAAGTGAGAGCCAATGCCAAGCCCAACTTTCAATTATTGCCATTTTGGGTCTTTAGAATGAGACAGAAGCAGAACAACCACAACGTTGTTGAGATATTTGCAAAACTCTGGACCGCAAGTGTCTGCGGTGGAGAACGAACACGCTATTACCCTTTCCGCGGGCTAACGCGTTCACCACCACACCATGTGGGTTCTTTGTTTCTCCTGTCTCTCAGCTAGCTCTATCGATCAGTGCCATCAGCAATCACTCGTCGGCGGGATTGATCTGGGAAACCCACATCGGCACTGAAGCCAATTAAGCTGAGGCTGTAGTTGAAACTACAATATTTACTTTACCTCACCCCGGAAAGGTAATAGCGTGTTCGTTCCCCACCGCAGACACCAACGGTCCGGAATTTTGCAAATGTCTCAGTATCACTGTGGCTTTCCCATAGTTGAGGAGCATACATTGAGTTCTTCAACAAATTCTCGAATAGTTGTGAATGTATTAGCTTGCCTTCAATTCGCCGTTGTTAGCAGGAGAAGGACCTCCGCGACCATGTCCATGTTCAGGGTGGCATTTACCACGAGAAAATTTTTCAAACCAAAATTGCACTGTTCGTGTAATGACTGTCAATGTACCAGATTTGTAGCAGTTTTTCCAAGGTATCACAATCGTAGCGAATTGGTTTCGAGGAATAAGGTAATCCGACCCAGTTACTAGATCTGCATAATTACTGGTTCGAGATAGAATGCTCAACTTTGTACTGGCTTGCCATGCGAAACTTTTTGATTTGTCCACATCGCAGATCTTTTGGTGCTTGAGATACTAGGTTATAGGCATTCATAGTAACAATATGAATGCAATATCAAAGATGTGACGATATTCGGGAAGGTAAGGAACACAAGGACCGGGAAGAATATGGACAGAGTAGGAGTAGTAGTTGAGCTAACTCACTGGAATACCTAATAATGTTCTCCATTTTATTCCTTTTGTAAGAGCAGAAATTTAGCAGAGAAAACCAGAGTTAGTGCTCAAGTGGAGATTCTAAAAAGTCTCTGATTCAATCTGATCCAGCTGTTTGCGCAGAAAGCTCGTCCAAAAGCTATACAATAGCTTATGCAGCAAGTACAAGTGAAAGTGATGCAGCTGCTCGTGGAAAGTTCATAGCATATTGTGGTTTATAGAGGAAATGCAGGTGAATTTGAGTGAGAAATGACTGATGACGTTCGTCATCTTGTGAAGAGTGTTGTCTACGCATCAATTCTTCGCACCACTTACGCTGCGCACGTCCGAGTTTGAATTCGTGGAAGTAGATTTGTCGAAATTGCTGTCTTAGCATCTGAAAATCTAATCGTTGGAATTCGAAACGCCATTTTTATTGCAATTCAAGTATACAGAGCGAAAGTACTGAAAGTAGGTTTTGCACTGACATGTGGTGCACGACATTCAAAAAAAATTTGCTAAAACGCATACTAAATCGAGCATTAATTTCCGAATTACCTATACGAAAAATCATAGCACCGTAATAGTGATCGTAATCAACGGTGATAGCTATGTCACAGCCTTGCATTCCTGCTGGTTGCCCCATTCATTACGCGGACAAACCAGCCCATCCATACTCTGGTTCGACTCCGTTCCAGAATTACCAAGCTTTTCATCCCTCCAGCTCGTGAAATTGCTATCAAAATTCTATAAGAGAAGTCCACTCCTTCTAATTTAAATGGGAACGCTGTCGTATGACTGCTTCAGGATTCCACAGAGAATCGCCTCGGACAGCATTTAACGACATTCGTGGCGAAGATGAAAAAATCCATTCCTCAAGCAGCAGCTGAACACACAAAGAAAACTGTTCGAAGACATTTACAAATTGAATAACAGCGTGATAAATGTGGTACCCTGCCACATTCGACTTCACTATGTATCGTTGGCGGTGATGGAGTGCATATCTGGCCTATACAATGACTCGCAGTGGCCTACCGATGTGTCGAGCTAGTGATGCTATCCTCCCAGACAAGTCTGGTACCAATTTGCCGACTCCCGAGGCATGGAAAGCTTGGTGGGCCATGGGGACGGAGATCGATTCCACGTGTGTATCGTAGTGGCGCCTTTAATCACTCCGCCACACGCGCCAATAATAGGTAGTACTGTTAATCCTGCACTGATCGATTCGCTAAAAAGTACAATATAATGAAATCCACCATATAGGTGGTTCCACGGCAAATTAAAACCACATTCAGAAATCAGAGCCAAATTCCAAGAAAAAGGAAGGTACATTGTTTTCATCGTGGCAATGATACCATTCTACAAGGTGTCTTTGAACAACAAAGCATTGTCAATATTCTCATCAGGGTGACTGCAGTGCCTTACGTCTAACAGTACAAATTTTGTACTAAAGGTGCAACCGCTGAATGCTCATGAAGTCTTAATCTGATTACTGGTTTGTCTATCTAAAGGGTTGTTGATTTTTCCTTGAGCCTCAGTGTGACTAATCAATATGTATTCTGTCTTTGATGAGCTTACACGAGTTGGATAATTTTATTTATTTTCGGCTAACGTTTTGACGTCTTGGGCTTCATCAGAGCCGACGATCCGATTCGATGGTCCACGCTAATTATTCTAGTTGATAATAACGCCGACTTCTGCAGGTTTGATTGTTCAGGAAAAAC